CCCCAAAACCCCAAAACCCCACTATCTAAGAAATCATAAATTTACAGAAAAAATAATTAATTCTCACTTAATAAATTCATATTTAAACTTGATTTTTTTATTTCCATCTTTAATGTCCGTAGCTTCTTGATAAATATTTAGTAATGCTATAATAGGGGCTTCCACAAGCATAAATATCGCATATGAAATTAAAATAGATAGGATAAAGCTGCCGAGGAAATAATAGAAAATGCTCATATAGCTGATTGTCACCATTTAATGCATTTAAAACAAATAACTTAGAACCATCAACGGATACCAGAGATAAATTCCAAAACTCAGATGAGAAAGAATGATAAAGCCTCTGCTTATCAAAAAATATCTTACGATTCTAAACTTACTCAGCATCAATGGCAGTAGAATGATACAAATTCCTATTAAACTTATTGGTGCGCGACAAACTCCATATAAAATCTAAGCTGTTTCACCCCAACTTTCTTTAAGCGACATTAATTTATAGCCTAGTAAGTGATTAAATCCAATCCAGAGCACAAGACCAATTAAAATAAGCAGCAATCTAATCACGTACATTTTCTTAATATACGTCAAAGCAGTATAGGATAAACTATTTTCATATCTGCCTCCGAGATCTAGTCTTTGTATGATATCCATATGATTTTTCAAGAACATTCCAAATAGCACTCCTAAACCGATGTGTATATTGATGAAAAACCAAGGTTTAGTATATATTTGATTCCAGTATGACTTATCAAAAACGGGCGAAATTCCTGTGTCATAAATGGCAATCTAGACACCTTATACTATCAGAGTTCCTAGAGCTATTACTACAACTTATATAGGTATACAAATCAAATAGCTTTTCTGCATGAAATAAATAACAAAAGGTGTAATTATTGACATCTAGAGATAAATTGGGACAAACCAGGTCCATGGCATGCACATGCTCTTATCTTCTCCAAATTAAGGATAAAAATTATTGATGATAAGAAGATTAGCCATCACATTTTCAGCATTTTGACAAGGCTCTAGCACTTTGTCAAAATAGTGCCAAAGAGGGCCTTAACCGAAGTATTTTACACCGTAAGCAGTCAAGAAGAACGTAATATAATATATTGGCACAAGCTTAAAAAGTCTTTTTATGATGAATTGGAAGCAATCATATAAAGTCGATGCATTTCCTTAGCATTTATGCAAAAAAGAAACTGCTTATGAGATTCCACATATCAAATAATTGATCTCTAATGCTGTTTGAACTCCTCTACTCACAAAAATTTAGAAGAATATTGAATTTTTTATTTCTACATCAAATTGATCCTGATTTTGAACAATTGCATTTTAGACTAAGTCAAAAGTCCAACCAAAGCATATTACAATCATATTTATGGATCTAATGCCGTCTAGTATGCCTAGATTATCAACTAATTTCTACGGTCTTTTGGTAGCCATCTTATATTATGAAGCTTTTTTCCTTCTATTTAATATGAATAGGTTGTTTCGAATGAAAGAAAAAGACAAGAAAAAATAAGTCCAAAATTCTTTTTGTAATAGTAATCTCTTGTTCCAGGTACTATACTTATTTATGATTGCTTCGTCTTTAAACACAATATCTTGTCTATTACCTATTTAAGTTAGTTCAATGATTGTACCAAGACATCCAATTGAAAAAAATATTAGTAAGATCATCAAGATCGCATACACTTAGGGCATCATTTAATTTTTCCTTTTATCATAATACTGTGTCGGATACTCTAGATCAACTGAAGCATTTGAATACCCCTAATTTAAGGCTAAGTTTTAAAAATAAGGGTTTAGAGATTAAATTTCGCTATTTTTACAAGATCTTGGTACACAGATGCCAATTTACGAGCCATAGTTGAAGTATTTGCCTTTTCCACCCTTAGAAAAGTACTCTGGATATGTAGGTGAACCATGAATATTTACTAGTATATATTAATACCCAGTCAATGCTTCGCATGTAAATAAGTCCCCATAAGAATTAAGCTATTTTCCTTGAAGTTCAGTATATAGTTCAGATCTCAAAAAGAATAAGTTCCGTTTTATATCATTTAAATCAGACTAGCATTAAGTTAAATTTTAGGTTTGAAATTCTTATGGAGGAATTGTGCTTTTTCCTCCGACTTCTCCTTAGTTTTAATATCTATGATTCTTGATAAAGTCAAGTTCAATATTATGAGTACTAAGAAAGTTGAATAGAGTAAGATTAACTAAAATAGTAATTTTTGTTACTGCTATTCTCATTTATTTTAATTCTTATTATTATAATAATCTGCCAATTTAATATAAAGGGGTTTTGGGGTTTTGGGGTTTTGGGGTTTTGGGG